TCCCCTGTATCACCCTATAGCCCCACCCTAAACCATGGGTGTTTAGGCCTTCGTGGTGGTTTTAGTATGACAAAAAGATGAACAATAGAATGTCAATCATACGGATGTCGGAGTTTAGGTTAAGTGGGTCAAACTGGAATTCCTACATTTCCAGATTTCCACTGTTATAAAAAATTAGCCAAAACATGCCAATTTGTAGACAGTTTGAAGACCATTCAACTAATTAATTTCTATATGGCCTTCGAGGTAATAGCATTCGTCAACAACAGTTGTTGTTACTTTTCACCGAGAAAGATTTAAACTACATTAAAGCAGTAAAGATTGCCCTCAATATGGAGGCCGCAGAGAAAAATTTCCTCATGGTGGAAGAAGCAAAGCCTTTATCGATGGCAATAGTAGCAGTTCATGAAGTTTCGAGCAGAGAGCAGCTTAATCATGGGCCTCGTTCCACCTGTTGCTGCCATTGTAGAAAATCAAACCACGAAGATATCCGCTGTTTCTTTTGGAAATCGAAATGTCACAGGTGCGGTATAGTGGTAGTGTCATGAAACATCCTATAGAGACGTAAGTGAGTTAGTTGATTTACATATTTCAAACTAAATTTTCAAAATTTCAAATAACTACGAGAAACCGCTAAAGATTCACTTAAATATCAATGATGTCAGCGTATTCTGTCATATCCGAGGCGGAATATTATAATTTTTTTTCATCTCTGTCAATGATGGGAAGCGATCTTAAATTGAAGTCATATTCTAGGAATATGCTAGAAGTTTTAGGATTTATCAAGGCACATGTCACAGGCATGTGCTCAAATTCCTTTAGACTACAAATCAAAAAAACTGATAACAATAAACACATATAAAGGACTTTCTCAATATAATCGACTATCACATGGAGTTTCTTCGAGTCCAGCCATCATTCAAAAAATGGTGGAGCAGCTTTTTAATAATTTGGAAGGTTTAGCTGCACTTTTCGATGATATTCTAGTAGTTGATGAAAACGAAGAGAAATACCTCCAAATCTTGGTAAAGGTTTTCGAGAAGTTAAGTTAATACAATTTGACTGTTAATCTCAAAAAGTGTCATTTTGGAGTGGAAAAATAGGATTACTTGAGTTATACAGTAAACAAAAATGGTTTACATACCAATAAGCAAAAAGCTAGAAACAACTGTTAATATACAAACGCCCTCAATTGTGACAGAAATTAAGGCCTGCTTATGCATGGTAAATTACTATGCTAAATTTATACCAGACATAAGCTCTAAATTGCATCTACTCTATCAGCTGCTAAAGAAAAACCAGCATTTCTTTTGGTACCATATCAAAAATAAAACGCTTTCAATAACATAAGAAAAGATTTGATTTCATCTAGAGTACTGGCTCATTATGAGCCCAACTTACCTGTGATGCTAGCCTGTGACGCTAGTGATTATGGAATTTCGGCCATGACTTCACATGCTTTTCCAAATGGTCACAGCCGGCTCCACCAGAGAAAAATTATTCTTGCATAAACAGGGACGCATGTGCAATAACTTTTGGATTAAAAAAATTCAATCAGTCTTTATATAGCCGCCACTTCACTTTAATCAGGGATCATAAACCTCTGGTTGCAAAAAGAGGAATTCCATTATATGCAGCTAGTCGCTTACAGCGTTATCTTAGCATCATATGGCTAAAATATTATATATGTAAAAACAACACAAAATGGAAATGCCGACGGCTTATCTCGTTTACCTGATAAAAACATAGCTAGTAAGGTGGACTATGTAGATTTCAGTCATGTATTTTACTTAGAAAATAGTACTCCATTTAGTTTTAAGCAAGTAGCCATTGAAACAAACAGTAAATACGTTAGTCTTAACTAAGCTTATATGTATTGTCTAACAGACTGGCCTAATAATGGAGTTCTAAGTGAATTGACAAACTTATGTTATGTTATGTTAAAAGAGATGATTTGCATTTAGATAGGGCATACGAGATATGGTTCCGGGTAAATTGCAACAATATGTCCTAGATCCTAGATGAACTTCACAGCACACATTTGGGTATAAATGAATGCAAATCCTTAGCTAGATCATATGTGTGATGGCCCAAAATAAATGAAGCTGTGGAGGTCATGTGTATCTCATGCTCAATATGCAATGCAGTGCGTACTAAAAAAACTCCACTCACTCCGCGGCCCATAAGTCGGTATCCTTGGTCTAGAATCCACTTCGATCTTTTAGGTCCCATATTTGCAGATAAATACTTGATTGTTATTGACTCATTTACAAAATGGTTAGAGGTTTTTAAAATGCAAACTGCTAATTCTCACAGTGTCATTAGGGTATTAGCTACGTTATTTTAAAGAATGGGGCTACCCGACAGAATTATTTCTGATAATGAACCTCTACTTGTTTCGACAGAATTTTCAAACTATTTACAAACAAATGGCATTCGAGCTATACATATAGTCCCATCCATACCATCCTGCTAGCAATGGGCAGGCTAAAAATTCTGTCAATCTGTGTTGAAGACAGCAAATATGGAAAACAAAAATTTGGATAATGGTTTGTTAGACTTTTTGCTACAATAGTGATTATAGTCCGGCACAATTGATGTTTGGTCGAAATTTGAAAACCCGTTTAGATTTACTAAGGCCCAATAGCAGAATAGTTGTTGAACAAAAAATGGAAAAGCAAATCCATAACTATGGAGGTCATTCAAAAATCATTGAGGTTGGTGATGGTGTACATTATAGATATTATTCTAAACCAAATGAAAATATGTGATTCCCGGGTACTGTAAAAAGCTAGTTAGGTTATTCTGTGTTTGAAGTAGAAACTCCTAACAAATACCATCGTAAAGACACAGCGATCAGATTCGTTAAAAAAAAACTGAGTGTGCTCGCCAACCTATCAGTTTTAGAAATAAACACAGAAGAATCTAGTTCCATCGCATCTGGTGAGAATGAAAACATTTTTACCGGAGCAAAAAAGTCAAGGTTGTGAGCCCGGTACAGGTACCCAGTTTCTCCTAGGTATGATTTACGGCCAACAAAATAACTTTTTATTGAACCGCTGGTAAAGTTACCTGCTATTTCTTTCCTTCTTGTCGACTTCTAATAAGTATAGAGATGTGATTATGTTTTGAATATCTGTTGTTTATTTTTATACGGGAATATCTATTTTTTGAATAAGGGTGAGGGCGTAGAGTTTAGGAATAAACCTTGACCAAAAAGGAGAGAAATAAATCAATTACGAAGTAAATGGTGTTTGGTTCGCACCCCCAGTTATCACATGTTAATGTTGAAGATGAAAGAAAAGCGAGCATGTGCAAATATAAAATGTGCAACATAATAAATGAAACCACAGGTGTTGAATTTATTGACGTCTCGGCTACAACGATAGTATTTTTTTAAAGACCGAATCAACTTAATGACATGCAAGTCTATGAAGTCGATAATTAATTTTTATTCATTTACATCTTTGTTCCAGGTGACATAATTTACTTGTTTCAGACACAGATGTTTCAACCGCTACGACAACTCAAGCACACGATGTTGTTGATATAAGCGTACTATTAACCGCTTTTTGGATCAATGGATCAATGAAACGCACTACCTGTAGTTGAAGATTGCCTAAAATGTTTCCTCTGGCGGTGAAAACAAGGGAACTTGCCTTAAGGCTGCTAAACACAGTGCCGGGCAAGCCGCCGGCTAAGCCTCTGTACACCCGGCGGCATACAAAGCCGCCGGCCTTGCCGCGCAAAGGAGCCGCCGACATTGCCGCCGGGGAATGCCGGAGGGTTACGCGGCTTGCCGGCGTCACTTCGTTCCTGGCATTCGAGCGGTAGTGTTGTGCGGTTTGTGTGTTTAAAATGTCGTTTAATTCGGACGACGAAGCTGTGCTGCTCTTAATTGAAAAATTTCATGAAAACGCAAACGCTGACACCCCACATCATTTTTTTTATACTCTTCTATCATTACAGTACCGTTTCGCCATTTTCTATTTTGTAAACTTGGGTGCAACCCAAACCTGCTCGTCCTTTTGTATTGTTTTTCTTATTAAAATAAAAATTACAACTGCGGCGGCTGTGCTGATGATTTCCTTATTCATTTTAACCAACCAACCATAAAATATGCACTTCACTAGCGTTCTATGTGACTGTCACAACCGGAATGATGCTTGGCGGCTTTGCGCGGCTTGTGCCGGCGGCTTGTATTGCCGATGGCATAGCCGCTCGGCATAAACCCGGCGGCATTGCCGCCGGCTTGTGTGTAGTAGCTTTTAAAGACATAAATTAGTAGATTTCATTGTCAAATTGCTTATCAATTTTAAAAACGTATGCCATTATTTTGATTTGCACTATGAAAAAGGCTGCTGTGGCAGTCGAAACGTTATCAAACCAGTTTATTCAACATGTAATGAAGATAGATCAAAGAATCAACTACAGGATGAGCTTCAGATATCACATTAATTTACTATTAATGTAGGTGTTCCTGTGCTGATGTATTTCCAGCATCTCGAACGGTGTGGATCAACTTTACCGACGCATAACGCACCCCAATATCAGCAGTGCAAAATGTAATAAAAAGTATTTGCTTTCTCAGTTGCATAGGAAATACCGATTTTATATCGCCAGTATTGCAACAGTAACTTTGACTGTTTGATCGTACTACGTAGCTTGAAATTTCTAAAATAGATTACTCTGTGAATTATTCGAAATGTTTTCCTAAATTAGTACAGTGGACGAAAGATCTATGAAGAAGAGAAAAATGAGGTCCTGTTGTTATATGCTTAAAGCAGCTGTAACATTGACATTTAATTCTATTGATAAATGTGTGGTCTCCTTCCAGACTATTGTGAACCAAATGCAGCCAAAGCAATAAGTAAAACTAGCCGGTAAATTATAATCAGCAACTGGAATATCATTTATGGTAAACTATGGACTGGAACAATATGTCGGTATAATTTACTGGCTCCGTGTCTGTATATAACTTTGATTCTCATGGTACGTACTTTTGATGCTACTGGATAGCGTTGACACTTCAGCACTAAGAACGCCTCCACATATTCTGTCAACGGTATTGCTAGTTCCTGTGAGTGGTCGTCCAACATTGGAAACCATTGGGATGATCAGGTAGTCGGCTTGGCACGAGTTGGGGCCTGAAGTCCCAACCATAGCTTGCACCCTGGATCTCGAGTTGCCAGAGAGAGTAAAAGACTGGGTAAGGTTGTTCACTGCAAACATTTGGCATTAGTTCACATCAGGTAAGTATCAGCTAGTAAAGAAAATATTAAGATGGCATAGTGTGTACCGAACATTCTAGCTCTCCAACATCATGGCAACAACGTATTTTCTTAAAAGAAGTTTTAGTGGGAAGAACACACTATGTTTGGTGGGTACCATCATGATGATAATGACACTAATCATAGTTTTAAACGTGCCAATGTATTTACATAGATGGGCAGTATGATTGAGTTTACCTTATCTGCCAGAGTATCTACGCTAGTTTGCAATTACATTATACATATTCCTAGTTACGACACGATTATTAGTTTTATCTGGGTGCATAAATTGCAAAAAAATGTTTTGATTGGCGGTTTCAAAAGGAAAATCTGCAGTCTTTATTTGTAGCCTCCGACGCACAAAGGATAAGTTTTATAACGTTAACGTGTGTAGGTGTGTATGTCTGTGGATCTGTGGGATCGTAGCTCCCCCACATACAAACGATTTGAGTGCGTATTTCTAAATCGCAATCTTACTATGCTTGGTTGAAACGGTTCAGCTGCTAAAAAGTGATGGGATGTGACCATACGGTGAGGGAGAGCAACCCAAGGTAATCGAGTATGCCTGAATTTATTGGATTAATGTGGGGATTCATGAATTTGGTATTTTAACTCAAAAGTTAGACCCGCTTTTCTGTATGATCTTCTTAAACTCCCCAACGGATGAACCAACTTGAATTCATTTTTTTGAAATGAAAATCTTTTCTGTCGGGATGTTTGATGAAATTCATTCCTTATAAAAGCTATGGAGGGGGGAAATGAATATGGGGGAAAGCAACACAAATAAACAAATTATGCTTCAATGTGGTATCAGATGAAAGGGTTTAAATCGGTTAAATTTTTCATTAGTTAGGTCAATTTCTATGTATGGTTTGTAACCCCCAATGCAAAAACTTCGAAACGGATGAACCGGTTTGAGTGGAGTTTCTTCAATCGAAAACCTGTAAGATCTAATGAATCAAAACACATATACGAGTATGTCCAAATATATGTTTTTTGTACGACGTTTATACCACCACTATGGTCTTTTTCAAGTAACACACTGTACAGGGATGTGAAAAGGGAAAAAACGAATAATGAAAAATTTCTCAAAAATCATCAGGACCGCTAACCTTGTGGTAACAATACTTTGTCGCCAATGGGCATGGGAAATGGAAGTGGGAACCGTTATATTGACATTTGTATAATGGCATTTTTCAAAACCTCTCTTACATTTGCCAGGTTGTCTGCAGTATTTCCGATAAAAAACCTTAGTGTTCCATGCGGCCATTGTATATGGCAACAAATTTGTAGTCAACTGCACAACTTTGTTGTTGCTATGCAAATTCGATCCTCACCGTTGGGATATCGGAAACTGTAAGAGATACGAAGCCGCTTAAATGGGGTCAAAGTTGAGTTTTTAGATAGTCAACAAAATGCGCTTAATCTCGAAATACAAAATACTTCCGAGGAGAGACGGAAAAAGACGAATTTGCCCAAACTGTTTTAATTTTTCCCTGACTTCTTCTGTAGACGGATTTCAAAATAAATTACACATTAACATTGCCACTTTTTCTCCTCTACAAGATGGTATATACGTAATTAGAATTTCAATTTGACGCTTCATGTGTTGTCCTCCAGGATCAACTTTATTCTTTCTTATGGACCATAAATTGGACTTTTGCACAGATGAATAGAGTTTTTAATTCCGATTCCAAAAATTTATAAAACGCTATACATTGAGTTATTTCAAAAAAGCAGAATTTCCTAGGTAGACCTTGAAGTTACCAGTCATTTGTTTGGCATACGTACCAGACTTATCCCAAAATCACTTCTATATTTTCCAGAATCTATTTTAGACGGGTTTTCAAAATTGATAGCATGTTGTCATTGTTACTAATTCTCCTCTACAAGATGGCGTAGTCACTTTTACAGTGCGACATGTATTCTTTGGACTTCCACCACCACTTTTGTGTTTTAATATGAACGCTATATTAGAATGTTGTACATTTAAATCGTTCTAAACTCAGTCATGTTTTCTTTAGTTGGCCATGAATTTGTTGTTGGATGAAGGAAATAAAAAGTTATGGTGAAACCTGAACACAATATGTAAATTTTATGGATGGTAATAACAACAATAACCATAAAAAAGCAGAGAGATGTTCAAAATATCGGCTACTTTGTAGGCAAAGCCTGAAACTTCTCTGTACACTGATCAATGCTCGATCTATTTCTCTTCTTCTCCGTCTTCCAAACTATGTAGGTATCTGCAGTTTGAGGGCTGGCCTGGTATACTAAACATGAACTCTGATCATTTCAAGGCCTACTTAGGAACTTCTGTTTTTTGCGGAATAACTAAAGTTTGGCAATGTCTGTGTATGACATATTACATTTTTCTGATCAGAAAAAAAACTCTATTCATCTGCGCAACGATTTTGGAAACATTTGTTTTTTCCGTTTTCTCTCCGGAAGTATCTTGAATTTCAGAACTTTCTGAACGGCATCTTGCTGGTTACCTGAATTCGCAACTTTGCTCCCATTTAACGTAACTACGTCGTATCTGTGGAACTTCCCAGCCTAATTACACATGTTTAATCCCAAAGAACGGTCAGCCAGTTGTAGTAGACTTACGCCTGAAGTCCTTGGCGAGGAACTTTTCAAACTGATGCTGAAATATCACTGAAAATTGCATCTCCAATCGCATTGGAAATTAGATAAAATATACACAGTTGCAAAGTATAAAGTAATCCGAGAAGATTTATGTCAAACTTTTATATTGAAAGTTTAAAAGCGAAAATAAATGGTGGAAATGTAAGCGTAAATATCCCTGTTACCAAAGTATAACGCAAACCAATAGTAGAGACCCAAAGCAGTTAAACCAGTATCTCCTCAAGTTCGCCCCTTCCCCCGCTCGAGAGGCAACTATTACATGCTAGGGTTTGAAGGCTTGGTAGTGAAGTTCGACACCTGGGTATCTGTAACTGTCGAGAGTAGCTCTTTCTAAGAGAGCGAAAGGCGTGGAAGACCCCATGGTTGGATGAACTGTTTCGACGAGACAGTCCGTCGTGTATGTGTTTTTGCGGCTGCCGATTACTTCAATGTACTTTTTACTAATATTGTATTCTACTCTATACTATTCCATCCCATGCCATTCCATTTTGTTCCATTCAGTTCAGTTTTCCGTTCCAGGTGATCCGCTTCGCTCCACTCCGCACCTTTTCGTTCCGTCCCGTTCCGCGCCACAGGGGTATTACGTATCTTGTAAAGTAACATTAGCTCGTTTTTTTGACATTATATAGGCTTTGTATGACACTATGTAGATTTTCCTATAAGATGTTAACTTGGGACTAGCTGTTATTCACTTGATATGCACTCGTTGTGTAGCTGTAGGAGTTACCTAAACGTCATGATGCTTTAGCTATCATGGTATCGCTCTGTTGTGATGTAACATCTAGTTAGAAAATGGCATTATTGAAGGACTAAGCTGTGAGTTGTATAACTGGAAGGAAACAGACCGAACGGCAGTGCATAAATGCTTAGTGAGGATCTGTGTACTAATAAATAATCTATGTTGATGATAATTCTCTCGGTTTATTGTCTCAAATACATTTGAGATGTAGGTATGTAATGGAAATTACGTTTGCTGAATTTCAAAAATACAAGAGGAGGTGAAGTACTTTAAAACTAACAGGTGAGAAACAGACAGAAATATTTATGAAATGTTAAAATGTTATTACATTTTACATTATTTTTTATTTACAGTCCAGTCAGTCCGTTCGATTCGATTCCACGTACAGTCTGCGAAAATCAAAAGTTCGCCAACTTTGGCATAAAAACAAGGTCAACAGTCGCTCTAAAATATGTGTAAACTAATCTCAAAATATTCTTCGGGCTTTGAACTTTGACTCAGACACTTGGTGACCACGAATATTATGGTTTTTTACCGAGCTTTTAAGCACCGAACACATCTATTTTTAGGGGTTTTCAGATATTAAGGCCCGCTTTTACTTAGTCGGGGCGCAAAAAATCACGCAATAAGGAAATTGATTATTTACTCGAGGTTTGTTGAAGAATAATCATGCTGTAATTTTATTTATGTCTTCAAAGAGTTTATCAAGCAACATTTTGAACAGCAACAGCGAGACGCTGCTATTTCGAGTAAAATGCTCAGGAATGACGTTATGTCAATCTATACGATACTGTATCAGGTTTTATCCATGTTTCGAGTAGGAAACAAATCGTTCTTGATTCATGGAACTTGCGTCAACTTTTATGTCCGGACACAAATGTAAAAAACTGGTTTTTGTGTTTTAATATGGGACCCAAGGGCCCATCTTACATTGATCGAATAATGCTTCGTTAGTTTGACAGACATATTAAAAGACATCTCCCAAATTAATTAGATCCATTACTTCGCCACTACTAAGACGCCGTCTGATCGGTCCAATGTACTAGAGTGACTTTTTTATTTGAAAAAACATGCATGCTAGTACAGCAAATCTTCAGTGTTTGAAAAACTAATTACGGCGTTCTGATCAACATTTTAGGATCAAAGTACGTAAGATTTGACTAGTTTTTTTCATATCATCTCAATGCGCGATGCAGTCTAAAGTTTGCGGCCGACCTGGACTATCACTGCTTGTTTATACCCATTTATACCATTAAGAGCAAAGCTACATTATCATATTGTGGCAGACGTGTTTGCCGGTCCACGGGTAGGCTGATAACGTAACTTGTAGCACTAAAAGAAAATTTAAAGTAAATGTGGGAACTTTTCAGCTGCAATTACTTATTTCAAACTGATTAATTAAGTACTTCCTTGACAGATCTAGTTTTCCAAATCGATTTTTTCCATAATCACGTTTGTTGAATGTCCCTTAACATGAAAGAAAAGGTAGCCACTTTGTAACCCGGAATCACAAGACCTTTATTCGAGTTATTTGGATCATTCTGCACAAAAAAGGCCTCAAGTAAC